TCATATTCATTTTCCTTCCTCTTGGTGAGCTGGAACATGCACATGCCCATAACCCAGCCTCAGCCACAGACAAGGACAATGTCCTAGAGCAGAAGTCAGCAAATCCTTTTTTAAAGATCTGGAATACAAATATTGTAGGCTTAGTGGTCAATTTGGCTTTTACTGCAACTACTCTTTTCTACCCACTAAATGTAGGTAGTGTAGATAATGTGTTAACAAATGGGCATGACTGTGTTCCAATAAAACCTTATTTATAAAAACAATCTGAGGGCCAATTTTTAAATTTCTATTTATTCTTATTTTTTTCTTTCCACATTTTTATTGGTGCAATATAATTGTATATAATAATGGGATTTGTTGTTACATATTTGTACATGCACACAATATAACAATATATTTTGGCCACTAACACTCCTCAGCACTTCCCCTCTCCCTCCACTCTTCCCATCCCCCTAGTCCCTTTCCTCTATTGATCTCCCTTTGATTTTTTTGAGATCCCCACACCCTACACACATGCACCTTTCTTTTCCTTTTTCCTCTCTAGCTTCCACATATGAGAGAAAATATATGACTCTTGACCTTCTGAGTTTGATTTATTTCACTTAACACAATAGTCTCTAGTTCCATTCATTTTCCTGCAAATGACAAAATTTCACTTTTTAATGGGTGAATAAAACTCCATTGTGTATATATATTACCTTTTCTTTATCCATTCATTCATGGATGGACACCTAAGCTGATTCCCATAGTTTGACTATTGTGAATTGTGCTGCCAGAAACAAGGGTATGAATGTATCACTATAGTCTGCTGAGTTTAATTCTATAGCAGGGTGGCCAGCACCCCAACAGAGCAGGTAGGAACCTCCCCAGGAAGTGTGAGCTGCCTGGGAAAATAAAAAGTCTTAAAAAAATCAGTAAGAAATAAAGACAGAGCCAAAAGTTAGATTTATAAAATAGAGTGCCTGATGGGTCTTCCAGTCCTGATGGGAATTAGAACTGAACAATTGAAAAAAAAAGGCCCCAATTCTTTATTTAAGGGGGACAACATCAAAGGCAGGGATAAGGTTCCAGAGGGAGGAGTCTCATTCCAGTGCTTGCTTCTCTGCCTGGCAGGGATCTTACATTAAAAGCTCAATTGTCATTCTGCAAGCCACACCCATCTCCAGAAGGCTACCTGGCTCCAGGTTCACTCCCATCTCCTGGCCTAGGCTAGAACTTGTGTGGTGAGCTAGGTAGGGCACCACAACAATCAGGAGTTCTCGAACCAGTGGATTCCTGTTGGGAGTTCCTGATAGGAGGCTTCCCTGCCTAATGGCTCAAACATCACTCAGTCCATGCATGGGTCGTGGATACCTTCTCACATAATTCTTTAAGATAAATACTGAGGAGTGGTATAGTGGAATCGTATGGTGGTTCCATGCTTAGTGTGAGGAACCTCCATACTGATTTCCAAAATGGTTGTATTCATTTACTATCCCACCAATAGAATAAAAGTCTTCCTTTTTTCTCCACATCCTCTCCAGCATTTATAGTTGTTTGAATTCTTGATGGCTGCCATTCTAACTGGTGAAAGATAAAATCTCAGTGTAGTTTTTATTTTCATTTCCCTAATTGCTAATTATGTTGAACAGTTTTTCAAATATTGTTGGCTCTTTGTATTTCTTCTTTTGAAAAGTATCTGTTTAGTTCATTTGCTCATTTATTAATTGGGTTATTTGGGGTGGGGATTGGTGTTAAACATTTTTAGTTCTCTATTCTAGGTAATAATCCTCGATCAGAAGGGAAGCTAGCAAAGATTTTCTCCTACTCTATAAGTTCTCTCTCCACATTTGAGGGCCATTTTTTATATAACCCTACCCTAGTGGATGAGAGAGAAACAAGATAAAAAGATCCTGGGCCTCATGAACTTCATGGAGTAAGATACCCCACCAACTTGAGCCTTTACTAGGGACTGTTAATATGAGAGAAAAATGAACATCTTTATTCTTTAGACACTACAGCTTTAACAGTCTTTGTTACAGCCACTTAACCATTATCCTAAAAGATTATAATTTTTAGACTAAGTTAGGCACCTTATATATTTTTTTCATTTAACCTCTACCCAAAGATGTTGAGACAAGTATTATTCCAACTATTTTAGAAATGAGAAACTGAGAGACATAGAAATACAATTCCTTGCCTAAGGTAAAAAACAGCAAAGCTGGGATTTGCTATTTGAATTTATTTCTAATTACTTCTTATGAACCCTTTGAACATGATTACAAAAATATTCAAAGAACCACCAAATGTAATTTTAGGACGGAGTAAAAAATATTCTGGACTCTATCCATGATACTATGATACTATGCTACCTCACTAGGAAAGTGGCTGATATGCAAATCACATGCAAAAAAGCATGCAGATAGTTATTAGGAGACTTCTAGTTTGTCCTTCTTTTAAAAGTTGATTAAGACATGTTTTTTGGATCCAAAATGGTTTGTGTCATCCTTTGCTTCAAAGAAAGACAGCTATACCAAGTGGGAGTGAATTCTCACCCATGAAGCATGCAGGGGCTGGTCTTCCAAAATCAGCCACAATCACCCCGTTCACCTTCACCCCTGTCTCTTACTTTTTAACATAGTAAGAACAAATACTACATGGATTATGATTCAAGAGGATGAGAGGCAGTCAGATGCCTTCTAATTAATAAAATGAGACTATATAACTGGAATAAAATATTTTGAGTGTTCAGTGACTACAGCTCCTCTGTGTGCCGTGAATCATGCAGTGAATAAGTGATTTAAAGTAACTACTAGATTATGCCCAGGAGGGCCTGCCAATATGGCTTGCTATCAATTGCCACTTTATATCAAAGCTAATGGAATGAAATGTAATATGAAATTCTGGTTTGGAGGAAAATAAAAGAGTGGTTGTCCATTGATTAAATTTACCTGAAAGTCTGACATATTCATCGACCAAATGGTGTATTTCTGAATGAGTCATGTGCTTTTAAGAGGCTGCCAGTAAAATGCTGCTTGCATTTTAACCCAAAAACTGAAAATATTTGTTGACCAGGTTAACGCCTATGGTCCTAGGTACTGGGAACTTCAAAAATTCCAAACATGCCCACTCAGTACTTTGGACCTTGATGGATCCTATCTGTCCACTACTGAGGACCCCAACCCAGTGGGTTAGACCACAGACCAAAATGGTCCTTGAAAATAAATTAGCCCAAAAATCACATCCCACAGATAAGGAAAGTTTTCTGCTATACTGTCTGCATCATCCAATCACCACAAACTTTGTGACTTTAAACAACATAGGTATATTAGTTGTGTAGTTTCAGGCATCTATAGTGGGTCCGCAAGGCTTGGTTTCTTCTGGAAAGCCCATGGGATAGCACCATCTTTCTCCCCTGACTTCCTGGAATAATCTCCCCATCTCAAGAACCTCAATTGTCACATCCACAGAGTACCTTTGGCCACATAAGATTACATATTTGCAGGTTCTGGGGATTAAAGCACAGACATCTTTGGAGGCATGTTATTCTGTCTACCATGCTATCAAAACAGTTAATGTTGTAAACAAGACCTGAAAGTAGTTGTCTTCAACCTCAACTGACATATATTCAGGCATTTTGTTAATTTCTAGCCAGTGCAACCATAAGAGCTCAGAGCATGTGCACAAGAATCAGTGGCTTATTCTGGGTCTAACTCTGCCAATCACAAGCTCTGTAGACTTGGATTGAACCGCTTATGAATTGACAATTTTACTGAAGCATTGAAACCTTGGAGGAAGTAGCAGGAAATTAGGCAGGGGAGACAAGATAGTAGAACTGAAAAGTTCAGCTGAAGAGTTTCACGCTATATGTGAAAGCAGAGGTTTTCTTTGCTTTGCATGCCCTGAAACTTTAAGACCTAAAATAAGGTTATCATGAAAAATGATTGATGAATTAATGAATGAGTGTTTCAATTTCACCAACAAATTCACCTTAGAATCGACCACAACATAGAGTGAATGTTCAATAAATATTCGTCAAGTGAGTGAATAAAAGAATTAATGAATTCTGCTAGAAATGTGGTTTAATGTCTTTCATTATTTCCTTTTCAATAAAATTTACTAACTCGGATTCTCAGTGAGAGAATGCATGATTGGTCCACAAGACACATAACTCGGATTCTCAGTGAGAGAATGCATGATGGGTCCACAAGACACAGAAGATGATTAATCTTATAATGATTTCCACAGGGGATTTTGGCAAATATGGCCAGATTTTCTGATTTTTTTTAATCTAATGAGATTCCCCAAATCCAAATTTCCATATTAGACTGCCAATTTTTACATTTTTTTACCTTATTCTTTTTTTATTTTTTTTATATTTATTTTTTAGGTGTAGATGGACACAACACAATGTATTTTTTATGTGGTGCTGAGGATCAAACCCGGTGCCAGTGCAAGGCGAGCACTTTACCACTGAGCCACAATCCCAGCCCAATTTTTACATTTTTTCTCAAATCATTTTAAACACCATTCAGGACAACTGAAATGTCTGCCAGCCAAATTCAGTTCACGTCCCCCATTTTGCTAGATCTTTTCTTCAGTCATTTTTAGTTTTCGAGGATGTAGAAGGCTGATACTGAAATAGCCTTGAACTACTATCTTATCAGAAATAAAAAAAGGAAGGGAGAGAAGTATGGGTTCAGGGCACCCACACAAATACACAAAAAGACAAAACCTAATAAGAGTACCCATGTTAGGCTTTAAAAAAAAAAAATTAAAACATGAGAGAAAATGATGGTAACTTGGAGCAGGCAGGTCTGCAGTCAGACCCCAGCAACCATAAACATGGCCCCCTCTTTATGAGGCATGAGGTCTTATTGATAAATTAAAGAGTGTCCAGGGACCCTGGATTCCTGAACCCCATTTATATCTTTAACCTGCCATTGTAAGATAAGAAACAGTTTAGAACTTGTCATTTTCATAATTGATGGGCACTACTTGTTGATTATTTATATGTTTTATTCAAACACATGTAGTTTACTTCCTGGAATTCATGACGACATAGTATTACCAACCCAAACTTCTAGATCCCTGGTGTCCTCTTAGATTTGCAGGTTCAGTATGCAGTGGCTGCTCTTTCAGATATAGGCTTAAGGAGATGGCACTTCAGATTAGGTAATTCCTATGATCTCATCCAAAAGTTCCAGGTTGTCAATTCTCAGGTGACTATGAGGTCTGTGAGTCAGTCAGGCCTTCTGGGCTTCAGCTTCCACATCTGTAGAATAAAGAAGGTGATTACAAAATGGCTTACAAGTCCTCCCTGACATGGTAGTCTCTGATACTATGACTCAGCCTCGCTGGGTGATGCTGCCTGCTTCTTCACGTGTCACAGACTCCAGTGATGCCCACCAGTGTCTACCAACAGTGGAAGCTGTAGGGGGTACAAAGATCTAAGCAAGGAGATCATAGAATCCACTTCTTCAGCATTCCCACTTGACCAATCAGATTTATCAAGAGCAGCTTCCATAGCAATCTTTTTGAAAAGCTCACCAATTATTTGTACCATGGTCTCATCTGTCTAATTGAAGAATAGAAAATTGTTCTGAACAATTCTGGGAAGATGCATAGGAGGATTATTTTTATCACAGGCAGACTCGGAAATATATTTCTTCATCCTTTGAATAAATGATTCTTGGAATGCAATATACTTTAAGGAATTGAATACATTTTGTTTTCTTCCTGGAACTTTCTGTTTCTGGACAGTCTCTAAAGGCCAGTAATAAATATACACAGTCATATGGCTGAATGATTATCAGAATGCCCTTATGTATCTGTTACATTTGCTTCGGGAAAATTCATTAATAAATAAACATATCCATAAATATGCCAGATAAAACAAAGGTAATGAGGCTCACATTTAACAAGTCAATACTAAGACTTTTTAGGGGATTTTCCTGTAAGTTTCCTGAAAGGGCCATAAATCTTTTCCATTACCTACTTTTATCTATGAGTATTTTCTTCTGATTAGAAATTTACCCCCCTACATTTAAAAATCTAGTCAATTACACAGAGATATGAAAAGATGATGAGAACATAGGAAATAGCAAGGAACCATGGTAGTGAATCTTCTGATTGCACAAATTCTCTTAATGACCCAGTGATTCAAGTCTACCACCCTGAGTTTAGGAGAACAGGTGAGTGGGTAGGATTAACAGCCAATATCAAAAGTGATTGTTACAAGTGCTAAAATGACCTCCCCCACTGGCATTGGTTTCTGTGCCTGCAATTCCCACGTGGACTCAAATGAATTAGTTAAATTTTGATCAGTCAAGGCACAAGATCACATTAGCTTTGTACATCAAGGTGTATGCAAACGTTCAAGTTAGGAAAGGAGATTCCACTAAGCATTCACTGTTGATGAAAATACCTCCTAAGCCTAAAAGTCATTATGGGAAGAAGAAGAGACTTGAAATCTTATAGACTTGATTGAATCCAAGCCCCACACTTGCAAACTAGCTATATATCTTGCACAATGCACTTAATATTCCTAAATCTCGGGTTTTATGCTCATTTGTCAAGTGGTTATGATAATGGCCAACCCACATGATGGTTGAAATGCAGAATAAACCATCATATGTAAATAGCCGAGCACATAACTGAATGAGCAGGTGTTCAGTAAATACTGAGGTTTCCCTCTGAAGTCGTGTCCACTTACTAACCTTGGCTCTCTTTTATTTTAATTCAGATTTCCCAAGTAACTCAAGTTGTAAAAATAAATGCTTAACAAACAACTCAGAACATTTTTTTCCTCATTCATAAGTACATTACCCGGTGATTTATCAAAATGCATATTACTTGTTTTTTGAACTGGATGGTTAGAGTCCAGAAAAAGAAATCATTCTAAGCTGCAAAGCATTTCTATCTAGTATGCAGTCTGAAAATTTGCATTCACTTTTTCACCTTTGTTTTGGGAAAACCCTTTAATTGTATGAATCTGAAAAAAAGACCTCCATTATTATTTCTGGTATTTTAAGGTGACAATTGACCTGAATGCAATGTTTCATGCTGAGAATTGTTTGAAGATTGGAACATTGCTAGACTTAATTGAGCCAAAGCTAGTTAAAAAATTATTTTTTTTAATTTTTAATCAACACACAATAATTGTATATATTTGTAGGGTACAATATATTTCCACACATCACTGTTCTAGGTATATCTGATTCTCTCTGATTAAATAAATAGGTACCACTATTTATCAACAATACTAACTCATTGTTATTTTCATAATAAATAAAAGTCAGATTTAAGAAAAAAAGCCTTTGCTAACTAAAAAAAAAAAAAAAAATAGCCTTTTGGAGGGGAGGTGGTGATTTTCTGAGGGAAGAATATGGAATATTTTTTACCTCTGTGTGACTTGAGCTTTGGGTACACTGCTACTTGTGCTTTGGAAATTTTGTAAAATCTAGGTTGGAGAATTAGCAGAAGATAGGCAGGGCCTGTGTTTCTTATCAGAAAACTCTTCACACAAGTACAGAGACCATGGGAAGTATGGACTTGAGCTTGCCACAGACCTCCTTGGGCAGGAGTATCCACAGCCGTGAACAACGACCCAGAATGTACATGGAAATGGGGACCTCTGAGGGAGTGGGCACTCTTGTTAGATACTGAAAGCAGAGGAAAATTCTGAGGGAAGAACCAAAGATGAGGCAAAATGTCTCTTCTCTCCGTGTGCCTCATGGTAGCCTAGTATCCACTGTCCTATGGGTAATTTATGGAAGAGGATTTCTTCGAAGGCATGTGTGGAGGGAGTGAAGAAGCACTGCCCAGAGTGATGGCCAGTAGCGACAGGGTAGTGGTACAGACTCAGAGGGATGGCACTGCTGTAGGACAAAGGACTCACTGAAGAGCACACGTCAGGCAGCACCAGGGATCAGTCTCAGCTGGAGTGAAGATTCCGCCTGGGTAAGGGGAGGCTCAGGCCACTGGTGAGTAATAAAGGAAATCTAACAAACAACTCAGAACATTAGTTAAATTTAGTGAATTAGTTAAATTTTGATCGGTTAAGGCACAAGATCACATTAGCTTTGTACATCAAGGTGTATGCAAACGTTGTACCGTCTCAGACTATGTGGGCCTAAATATTTTGCTTACAAGCGAATCATTCCTCTGACCATGCTCATCTCAGTTGACCTAGTTAAACCAGTTTCCAAACTAACAATTCTAAAAAGCAGAACCTGAACAGAATGGAAACCCTCTGTCCCCAATCACCAAAGCCTGGCATCCCACATCAGCCCAGCCCATGGGCCAACCTGGAGCTTTTGTGCTTGCTTAAAACATTCTCCCCCTACATTCTGCCTTTGAACACAAAAGAAGAAGAAAGGGGAAAAAATGTGTGGAGCCAGCCCTGCCATACAAATTATTTCTTCATAAATTCCATTCTGAATTATGCCTCAGTAGCAAGACTGACTCTGTGTTTTATTCACAGAGGAAGTCCATAAGGTCTCCCAACCTCAGCTCAGATGCAATTCTATGAGGCTGTTCCGCCTTGGCCTGATCACATTTCCAGACACCAGCCCAGCAAAATAAGCAGAGGATAAAATCACTTAGAGCCATGTCTAATGCACAGGATAAACATGAGTTACTGGAAAGAAGGGTAGGATCAGTAACAAGGAGGGGAAGCGAGGAAAAAGCACAAAAGACAGAAGACAGAAAAGGAATCCCACACCACTCAACAGGGGAAATCACTGCTTCTTATCGAGGCAGGTGCACTGGGTATGTCTGTGTATTAAATCATCACTAGGATTTAAAGAGCCTGTGTAAGAAAGCAATTCCATAGATTGATTCACATGCTATTTATAATTCCTTAACAATGTGTGATGTTCTGCAGTCAGAAAGATAGATCATGGGAATAGTTTGCTGGGGAAAAAAAAAAGAACTAAACATATTTATTTTTCTCCACTGAATGAAGTGGCACAACCACCATTTATATTATTTCCAGTGCCATAAAAATGTCCTCGCTGTTATGCATAACACTACATAAAACATGGTGCAAAGAGGATTCTTGCTTGCTTGGGCACAAGAGTAGAAGGACCAGCCTGAGGGATGGAAATCGGGACTCCCAGAAACCATGTCCTAAGGTCTCATCCCAGCATTAAGGAGGGACGACCAGGGTGATGAGTATCAGAGCCTTCAGTCTTAACCCTTAGCAGGGATCCTTGAAACCCTCCATAAAAGAGATATGCTCAAATTGCCCTTAAATCTTGTTTCTAGAGAGCTGGGTCTAGAGACTTTATAAGGTCCTGTGTGGCCTTGAACCCCTCCCCAACACTCAGAAAATGGAAGGCTGAACCACTGGCTGTCTCTGGTTCCATTTGAAGCACCAGGCAGGGATTCCTTACCTTAAGGTAGGTCCACTTGGAACAGGAATCTATGTAGTTTCACAGAAAAACACCTTCATTTTCTTCCCACTGCTTTGGAAGGTGCATTGGAGCTCTGCACCATTAGGCAATAGCTAAGTATGTGCTCCTTGCATCACTGTATCAAAATACCTGAGATAATCAATTTAAAGGGAAAATACTTATTGGGATTCACCCTTTCAGAGGTTTCAGTCCATGGTCACTTGGCTGTGTTGCTTTGGAGTTATTTTGGTAGAGTACATTGTGGCATGAGCATGTGGCAAAGAAGGCCTACTAACTGGGCATTTTGGCACATGCCTGTAATCCCAGCAACTGGGGAGGCTAAGGCAGGAGGATCTTGAGTTCAAAGCCAGCTTCAGCAACTTAGTAAGAACCTGAGCAACTTAGCAAGAACTTACCTCAAAATAAAACATAAAAATGGCTGGACTTGACTCAGTGGATAAGTGCCACTGGGATCAATCCCTGATACCAAAAAAAAAAGGGGGGGGGGGGGGAGGCCTATTCATCTCAAGGGGTCAGGAAGCAAAGAAAGAGGAGAAGGGATCAGGGTTCATATATCCCCTACAAGAGCATGCCCCCAGTGATCTAACTTCCTGCAACAAAGCATCACTTCTTAAGGGTACCACCTCATTCCAATAATGCCGTAGACTAGTGACAAAACCCTTAACATATGAGCCTTTGGGGGACACTTATCCAAACCATACCACTAAGTTTTCTCATCACTTACGGAGAGAGTTCATGATCCTTGCAGTGGTAAACAATCCCCAGCTTGAGGAAAAGTAAGGACTCCCACCAGCCAGAAATTGGCTTTGGGGAAAGTGTGCTCTGAATCACCAAGAAACCACTGACAATCAGTCCCCTTGCCTGGGCTTCTTTGCTGTACTTGACACTGGGTGTGTAACACTGCTGAGCAATTTCCCCAATGCTGGGTGAACCTAAGAAAGAGGACAATATAAATGGTAAGAATAACATTATTTAGGACCATCCATCAGTATGGTCAAATAAAAGAACACCAAACCAGGAAGAGGTAGCAGAGAAATGGAGCCCATCAAGGACAGGGATATTATTCTAAGGCCTGTCACAATATGCTGTGTGAAATATGCACCTACTGTTTTCACTGAACTACACTGATTATACACTGAACTGGCCAGTAATTTTCCTTCCGCCCAATACCTCCTTTCTACCAGCACTCCCCTTTCCACATTCGTTTCCAAAAATGTCCCTGAGAATACAAAAGGTATACTTTGTAGAAAATACTACTGAAATGTTGGTTTAAATTATGAAGATCTAAGTTTGATTTCAACTACCATCTTCCCTTGTAAAAAAAAAATATGTGATTTATCTTTTCTGAGCCTCTTTTCTCACCTGCAAAATGAAGAGACTGCTCTAGGATCTCTGAGGTTCCTTGCAACTCTAAAAAGTGTACCCCTCTGTGTTAGTCAGCTTTCCATCATTGTGACGAATGTCCAAAATAAATCAACTTAATAAGAGGAAAGTATTATTTTGGCTCACAGCTTTGGAGGGTCTGGTTCATGGTTGGTTGCCCTATTGCTTTGGGGTGTGTGGCAAGGCAATACATCATAGTAGGAGCACATGACAAGAAAAGCTGCTCAATTCATGGCCACTGGGAAGTGAAAGAGAGAGAAAGAGGGTGGGTCCCCATAATCCCTTTTAAGGCCATACCCCTAGGGACCCAACTTCCTCCCACCAAGCTCCAGCTCTTCAATGTTCCACTACCTCGCAATAACCCCACAGGCTGAGGACCAGACATTAATACATGGGGCTTTGGGAGTTATTTAATATCCAAACTATAGAAACCTCTAAGTTTAAATGTGAAAGAAATCATTTCAAAGACTGCTAAGAAGGTAAAAGAGGCAACAGATATACATATGTTTATTAATCACTAACCAAGTGCTAGGCATTTCCATGGAGGATTGTCCACAATACAACAGAAAGAAGAAGCAAGAGTGATCATTTCTCATTCAAGCATCCTGCCAGCGGTTCTATATTTAGAAAACCCTAGTCAATTTTATTTGAATGTGACCATATTTTTATAAGTTTCAGGTCAGTCTGCACACAATTTGGAATATATGTAGTTACATATTTTGCACTTGTAGTTGGTAGTACTTTCCATTTTAAAATGTGATGGAAAGTACTACCAACTACAAGTGCAAAATATGTAACTACATATATTCACTACATATTTCACCCAATAAATTGATACACTAGGACCTCACCAATGACTGCCTTGGAGGGTAAGTTGCCTTTCAGGGACTTCAGTGACCCTACACAAGGGGTCCAATGTGTACCTGTTAGTTCCAGTTTCCATCCTTTAAACACCCAAAAAGAAGTCTGCATGTATCACATTTTTTCAGATGAAGAGACAATAGAATCAATAAACCAGAAACATAATTCAGAAAGACATTTAGAAATAACTGAATGTTTAACTTTAGATAATTACCACCAGCTGAATTTTTCACAGTATTTTTGCAAATATTTTCCAACCTCTTTCAAGATGTATATCCCTTGCAAGGCAACTCTTTAAGAAGTAGCTATTAGTTTTTCTTTTTTCCTGATATAGAAAATTCTGAAACAATTTGTGTTGCTGTCATATAATAATATCTCATTTCATACCTTGTGCTAGAGTTGGTTATTGGTGGAACAGTACAACACTACACATCTACTAGAACTTTGCTGAAATCTCTTCTAGTTCAAAGTTTGCCTGCTGATTATCAAACAGAAAGTGAGTACCTAAGAGCCCCAATACTGCAGCTAGAATTCCTTGGTTCTAATCCCAACTCCAACATTTTAATTTTAGAAAATATTTGTCAAAATGCCTTCCATATTTTGTCTCTTACATTTGTTGGGGGAGGGGGTTGTTGTTATTTTAGTGTCTCTTTTTACATAGATGTTGATATTTCTGTTCATACTTCTTTATAGTTTTGTTTGTGTCTCAACTTTTCTTTCTTTCCCTTCCTGATGCTTTTAGAATTTCTTGGCCCAATTCTTCATCTTACTTATTCTTTGTCTTTATCAACTGTGATATTCAGTCATTCACTTAGCACCTTCTCTCAACAATTATGTTTTCAAAATCATTATTTTGCATCTTTTTATGACTGCTTGTTCTTATGGAATTTTTGCAATAGTCTCTCATTTCTCTATTATGTTAACAGTACTTATCCTATAATCTTAATCGGTTTGACTTTTAATTCTGCTTCCTCTAGTATAGTTCTGCCCATTTCCTCCCTCCTTTTCATTATACTTTCACTGTTCTGATACCTGGAACTTCCCTCACGTATTTACCTTCTATCTTCTTGGAACTAACAATTAAATTAGTTGGTAACATCTGCCTAGAGAGCATGAAAACCTAGGATCCAGTTTCATCTCAAAAGGAATAGGTCCAGGAGCTCCTAGAATTGTGATCTGGTCTCCAGCCTGCCCTCTTCTCCCCAGGCAACCATTCCCCTTCCCAAAGAACCTCCTTGTCAATCAAGGGCCTGTTCTATGCAGCACTGATGTGAAGTGTGCCATCTTCTTTTCTGTGTGGAGTAACAGGAAGGCCTGCCAACCTGCTGTCCTCATCTATTGACTTCCCATCCCAGCTGGGTTCCTGAGCATCCTGGGATAACCTAGCCTTGTAACTTCAGATGATTTTCTTGCTATATGGTAGCCATGCAATTGACAAGAAGAAGATTGACAGAAGAGAGAGCAACTAGGAGGTTCTTCTCAGCCCCTCTGCCTCTCTTAGCCTATGGACCTCTCCTACTCCAGATAACCATTCACCCAATTGCTGTTCTTCCCACACTACCATTTGTTCTTCCAAGGTTCTGGAGGGTGTGGTCATTTTCTGACTTGCAGGGTCTGATAGCCATGGCCACTTACTTCATTCAATTTCCTTTCTTTCCCATGGCATTTCCAGAATTAGATTCAGAGGAAGGAGTCAGCAATCTGGGCCAATTCTCCACACTAGCCTTGAAGTAGAGATTGGACCATAGCATAATTTGTGCTAAGAAATCTTATTAAGTCTCCTGTTTCATTAATGGAAAGATGCAAAAATAGTCTGGAACTGCTTCCATGCCTCCTAGTAGGTGTCTTTGCCTCCAGGCTCAAGACCCACTCTCCTGCCTTTTCATGCCAGGCACCACCAGCTTAGTCACTCTGATAAATCACCTTCAGCCTGATGCCCCTCAGAAATTGCTGGTGGCACTTGGTCATAAACTACAGATTTTCTAACCATTATTTCAGGCCCTCTGCAAATGGGTTTCAACTTAATATTCCATATTTTTAATTCTGTGTAAGAACCTTCTCTCTGGTCTTTCAAAATAGACTTATTTAACTTCCCTTCTACTGGAGATTCCTCCTTGGGAAAAGCCTTTATTTCTATCTCTTACTCACATGCCACTCAGCTAGCTCACAGATATCCATAAACAATTGCTGGAGTCTCCCCAACTGGGATTGCTCTTTCTCCCCCTTGATTTCCTAAAGCAAGGATTTGAATGCCAGTGATTTGGCACATATTATTGACTCACTAATATACTTTGAAATGTTATCAATTAGATTATAGATTCCTTGAGTGTAGGAGGTTTTTTTTTTTTTCCCTCATTATCATGTTGAACTTCCATAGTCTTGGACATGATGTTATGCACATATAAGGAAATCAACAATTATTTATTATTTATTGATTAATTGAAGCCTTCAACTAATTTCACAAGTCACTTGGTTTGGAAGCCCCTAGGCCAGATGGAAGTCAGTTCTTTTATTTTCTATCTGCACTCTCAGCTTTATGCCCTGCACCAAAATATTTGAAGCACTGTGTGAGTTTATCCTTAACATCAAAACAACTTCATTTTTATATCAAATCTATAAATAGGTTACATGCCCTTTCTCTGGCATCTCATAATGACAACCAAAAACAGTGATAATTAGTTTGTTGTGCTCTGTGAGAAAGAAAATGTTGCCCTTCTGGAAGGCATACATGTTTTTAAGAACCCAGGCTGAATGTAATGACCTTGACATCCAAATTAGTGGTCAGAAAACAAACAGAACTCCAGGACTCATCCCAGAAGGGACTTAGCTGCCTATTGTTGCTCAGTACTAGATAAGACCTTGAACAAATCTAATTACTTGATACCTTATCTGCCAACCTCAATAGATCACCCTTCACTACTTGGGATCATCTTAAATTTACAAGACAATTGGAAATGCTGAGGCTCTGAACATCATGATTACTCACAATTTACTTTATCACTGGAAGTTTACTCCTGAGTAACTTGAAATTTCTTGTTTTCAGATGTGATTCCTATAGTTTCAAAGTAGAAATAAAATATTTGTAACTATGAAGGCCTCAATAGGACCACAGATATAACCTCAAAATCAAACACATGAAAATTAAAGATATAATTACCTGAAAAGTTACAATAGCTTCAACACTAAAAAAATAATGAAGTCTACTAATGAAGCTCGGTGGTGAAGTGTTTGCCTAGCATGTGTGTTTGCCTAGCACATGCCTAACATATTTGATTCCCAGCACACCAGAAAAAAGAAAGGAAGGAAGGAAGAAAGGAAAGAAGGAAGGAAGGAAGAAAGGAAGGATGGACAAGATAAAGAGAAGGAGAAAAAATGCTAATTACCTCGATTTGATCAATGCTTGCTCTATGCATGTGTTGAAATATCACACTGAACCTCATTAATATACATAATTAATATATGTTTAAAAATTTAAATTTTCTAAAAAAAAGAAAAATTATAAATGCTACAACACAATTGCATCAGCTTTTCTTTTTGGCCCCTGTTATACTCTACTTTCTCAAATACAAAAGAAGAAAAGATTAGAAATTTTCATCAATATTATACAACGGAAAGGAATTAAACTTTAAAATTAAAGGACATGGGTTAAAATCTTACTCTGACAGTTTTTTGAAACTATAGGGATCAGATCTTATGACACAAGCTGATCTCTCATTGACTTGTTTTCCTCCTCTGTAAAATGTGAATAATAATATTTGTCTCATGGTGTCATGGAAGAAGAGATGTCTCTGAAGAAGGGTCCAAGTAGTTTCCAGAGAGAAGGGGGAACTCGACTCAGGACCAGTGGTGTTCTTGACTTATGTGATGGAAAAAAATTTCAACATGCGCCAGTCAAAGGCATACACAGAGACTTATTAGGAAAGTTGCTACATATTCGAGAGACAGTGGGGGCGATACTAAAAGAGATGCCTTTGGAGCAAAGCAAGGAAAAGGCATTCAAGGAAGAATGAAGGCTATCTTCAGAAGGAGAATCAGCAACTCATTGATGTGGGATGTTACTACTTATGGAGGGATGGTTGCTAGGGGTTGGACTAGAGATGGAACCAGAATGAACCCAAACAATTTCAAACCAGTTTTCCCCACACTTGTGCATTGCTCTCATGTTATAGGGGTATAGGTCAGGGGTGTAATTGTTTATTTCAATGGTTTAATGGATCCTTCCTCTGAAATCTAGTATCTCTCCATTTATTACCAAATTCCTATCTCAAAAAGATGCCTATGACAGTTAAGTCAGCTATTAGATGGAGAAATGATTGAATAGAGCACTTCAAAAAACTTGAAATTATTGCACATGTGTTGGTCATCATCATTACTTTTCTTCATCTAAAAAGTCATAATGCCAATGTATGTATGGCCCTAAATTAGGTATCCTCGTAGATCAGAAGAGTCTCATTAAAAAACATTATATTTTAATTAAAATATTTTGTAATTCATTGGAGAAGTGTCTGTAATACTCAAGAGCTCAAGGGCACTAGTTTTACATTGACTAATGTGGTTCAAACACTCAAAGCACTTTTTCCAAAGATACTATCTTAAATTTTTTTTTTCAATACTGGGAATTGAACCCAGAGCTCAAGCATGCTAGATAAATGCCCTATCACTTAGCTACATACCCAACCCCCTTCTAGAAATCTTAATATGGTCACCTAAGAATAATGAGCAGTAACCCAGCAGCAAGTGGCTTCTTAATGTTGCAGAGAGGAAGACTTTGATGTCTAAATTTACCTTGCACTTTCCTTATTTGTTTCACTGACTACCTACTTTATGCAAAAAACACTTTGAAATTATCTCAGAAAGATAAGAATGGTATATAGTTTTTTAAGGAAATACATTTTACATCTTCATTGATCTTGTCTAACAAGATAAAGCAACTCAAGGTGTTTTAAGGAAACTGGTAAAACTTCTTTAAGAAAGAAATTCCTATGAAAGAATAAAAAGGAATTATCTATTAAATAAAGGGCAATCAAGGGAGAAAAGTCATGCATTCAGTGTTTAAGATAACTTTATATGCAGAAACAGGAATAATGTTATTGCCTTTATTTTGGTTATTTGGACTTCTTTAATAAGATATTGTGATATTCTAAAATTGTTTTGGGGTAATGAGAATTTTTAAAAATCATTTTTTAATATCTCATTTATGGTAAAAGCCGGGGGGCGGGGGGAAGCAAATCAATGAGATGGTAACAGAATGGATTATGGTTAAGCTTCTCCAGTGGTCTATAGGCTATTCCAAGACATATTTTAGTTCATTCTTTTCATTAGTATTGGACTGAAATTAGCATTTGTGTGTCAAATTATATTTCTTTATATTTCAACCAACACAATTTGATTAAAAATAATTAATAATAAGTTACCTATTATCACTTGCAATGGGTCAGGAACTATGTTAACAACTTTACATACATGTTCAAATACCTTTGAAGGGGACACCATTCATATTTACACTTTCTAGTATGGAAAATTAAGTGGTTTACCCAAGGTCACACATCCAATAAGTAGAAGATCTCAGGTCACATTGGTAGCAATGCAAACGACCTGCCTACAGTGCAGGTAAAAGGTGCTAGTCAGATATTATAGATATTGAATATGGATTTGACAGAACACTATAAAAAGGTACTTATAAGAATTCATCTGCCACATGACTGCATTTTTTTGTAGACTTGGTTTAAAAATCTGCCAAAGTTTAGACTCTATTGCATGTAAATCATTTTATTAAGTAATTTCAGATAACTGAACTAAACCTAGAATAGGAAATTGCATTGAGATCTATCTCTGGTAAGTAATCAGAATTCAAACATGATTTTACATTTGAACAGCTAAATTACAGAGAGGACTGATGCCTGAGACAAGGTACTAAAGAGAATATTTAATATCCAATGATTTAGGGGTTAAATGGCCCTAACCTTGAATTCTCTCACAAGTTTAGGTTAAGCTCCAGACATTACTTTCATGCTGTAATTTTGTTTCATTTTGGTTTAAAGAAAGAAATTCTTATGGGCAATGCCTTATTGAGTTGCTGTGGTCAAATATTTATTTAAAAGAACATATTGATTTGCAGATTAAAACTGACCACATATGAACTCCTCTTTGCAGTGACATTCTTATTGAAGATATTGATTAAAGACTTTTTATGCAGAAAGCATTTTTCTTGTCAGTTCAGTTATGCTGGCTTTTGTAATAAGCTAATTTGATTTCCTTTTTTAACCTTTGTTTGATTAGGGGAACAGACATTTGCATTAAAATTCAAGAGAGATGAAGTCTATCATCGATCTTGACTTCCTCATGGACCTCTTGTACTCAGTGAAAGATGATTTAGAGAATGTCAAGAGTCTTGGAACAACCATAATGAGATAGGGGAAAAAAATCACTTCAGACTTATAAGCCAGTGAGGGCTTATTTGACATAAAGGGCAATTGCGTTTGGAAGATATGCTTTAGAAAAATCAAATTCAGGAAGTTTAATTTTGTTCTTAGGCCAAGTCATTAAAAGATCCATGAGATAAACTACTATTAATAAAGTACTTGCTAGTTAAATCAAAACATTTCAAAACAGCTAAAGAGGTTAAACAAAACACACACTACATTTCTTGTCACTAAACTTATTACTGATTACAAAGAACTAAAAGTAAATTGTTATTTTTTAAATAAACATATTTCCAGTAAAACACTAAACTTCAGACAAATTTATAATTTAATCCTCTATTGTTTTCTCTGAGAACTATGAAAAATCAAATTCATGTTATCCCAGGACTTCCACTAGTATACCCAGGATTAATCCTTTACGATTCAAAGCTACTTGCAAATTCTTATAGCTACTGTGGTTTCCATATCCTTTTCTGAGACAGAAATCAATGTATCTTGTGACCTCAATAGATTAGATCCATTGTTCATTCTTGTAATCACCTTCAAAGATCTTTATTTGTCTCCTTTCTAGAAGTAGAGGCCCCTTACATTTTCTAATGAGTCTCCTTGGAATTGGGATTTTTAATTTGAGAGAGATTGAGCACCTACAGTGAACCTAATGGTTTATTAAATGTTCTGTGGGACACATAGAAAGTATATCAGATGGGCCTGCCCACTCCTTTTGCCACAACTACTCAGAAAAAGGTGATCCTTGTGATAGGGAAACTAAGGCCTGAGAAAGTGAAGAACTTGGTTAAATTCTCTCAAACAATTGGTTGAAAATTTTCTGGTTCCAAGAATCTCTCCCAACTCAAAGGAATGATGTTTTGGGATTCTAGATTACTTGGAAGAATTTCCAGGGACAGAAGGCCATTACTAACTTCTTTCTTTCTCTGGATATATCATGGAATATATTACTGAAGTAATCCCTTCTTTGTTCTGACAGAGATAGCTCATCTTTAGACCTAAGTTTCTAGACTTCACAAGTTGCCATTGTGGTTTGATCATCTTTAAATTAACTTCCCTTTTTCAGGACCTTGTGCATGCTAAGCAAGTGCTCTACCACTGAGCTTCATCCTCAACCATAATTTTTAAATTAATGTAAAATTTCTGGGCATGGTAGTACAGGCCTGTAATCCTAACAACTAAAGAGACTGAAGCAGGAGGCCAACCTTAGCAATTTAGTAAATCCCTATCTCAAGATAAAAAATAAATAAAATTAAAATAAATGGGGATGTAGCTCAATGGTAAAGCATCCCTGGGTTTAAAAATAATGAACATGTAAGTTAATGTACTTCTTTAAGTTAGCCTAAGCTAAGTCTAGGAAATTAACTTTTTAAAACATTCAGTTAAATCTGGAAATATAAGATATTTTTCATTTGACATTAGAGATAGATCTAGTGTTTCTTCTGTGGATAATATAAAATTAGAGAGAGAGGGTGGGGGGAAAGACAGCAGATGAAATAGATCTGGCATGTATGAAATATTTTAAAAATAAAAAAATAATATAACTGGAAATACTTTGAAATTCCATCACATTAGGCTCTTTTACAGTAAGGTTGGCTAAATATGACTATCATCATGTGGAAGGTCACAACAAATAATTGAGAACAAATATTCCACTTATGGTAGCAAGTTTCATACTGTTAGTGGGTTTAGAAGAAAAATATACATAAAACATGACTGAAAAATTTAAGAGAAGTATTTTCATACAACCCATATGGACAAACCATTAACCATTCTTTCATGTCATGAATCCAAAAGCATCTACATTATGTTTTATATTGTGTTAAAATTGATATAATATAAAATTCACCCAGAGGATAATATATGTATGTAATTCCTAAGGCAATTTTAGTTGAGACATTTACTTGAACTTTAATTTAAAATATAATGTTGCTAAGCTTCTACCCTCGTCGTTCCTCCCATCTTGTGGGGCAGTGAACTGTCTGGCACCTGGGAAATCCATCAGGCTCACCCCACTGGAGGTTTAGAGGGCACACACAGATTTGCCCTTCAAATCCACTAAACAGAATTCCTTATCTCATAACACAAAGATTTTACTAGAGTATTTTATGTGCAATTTATCAGCATAGCTGCCAAGATGTTTGAATCTATTTTAAAAAGACAAGAGCTTTGTGGCAGACTGGCTCAAGGTTTAAAAATCCTGATTTTGCATGCTCTTCATTTTCCCTGTGATCTCTGAAGTTTCCTTGATTGGTAAGTGCCGCGTGGCTGTTCCTGTCTCAAATGGTTCCTCATTACTCAAAGCCAATAATAATTGCTAAATATGACTAATATCACGTGGAAGGTCGCAAAGTTCACTGTGAACCTTCATTCCAGCTCCAAATGTTTTCAAGGTTAATAGATTGATTTTGAGCCGAGATATGATGCATTTATAAAATGGAAGAAAATGAAAAATTTGGCATCACCAATATGCGGATAGTCTTAAATGATTCATTTGTTACATTTGGACTGCAGCCATGAAATTCATTTGATATATATCACATAGTTATATTCCAACCTAGACACTGGAAAATAAATTAATGACGCATTTTAACATTAGACAATTTTAAACACGTGCACTCTCCAGGATGATGAGAATTGGGATACTGTAGTTCATTTACTGTTACAACTCAGGGGTGCCACATACGTGAAATGAGACCTAACCACATTTAAAGACTGAGACTCCACTAAATTATAGTTAAAACTATAATTCTAAGTGGTTTAGCTGCTGATTGCTTCCCTTGGTCTCCTTGTCTAGAGCAGGGACAAATGAAATCCCTGACCTAGTTTCTGTTCTGTCATCCCTAGACATCTTAGGGCTCTGGTTTCAGTTTACAAGAGTGTCCTGTTCTTCTGACACCCTGACTAGACTTAAAGAAGACTCTGGGATCACACAGAGAGCTTTAGCACCAGCCCATCTGATCCTGCCCAGTGTCCGCTTGCCATTTTTGAGCTTGACTTTCATTTCCAGTTTGGTGGACTTGGGAATCTCTAGCTGCTGGTGATGGCTTGGATTAGAGCTCAGCCCACCTTTGCCAGAATCTGGTCCCCCACATAGAAAGCCACATCACTGAGACCCATTCTTTCTTTCTTTCAAATGTTCAAGTCATTCCTCTTTATTCCATAGGCCTGGATTACTCATTTTACCCTCTGGCTAGATTGCCTTTATTTTCGTGTTCTTCCTGTCTTACTTCCTGATGAATTAGCCCAACCACAATAAATACTAGTCTTCTGAAAACATCTTTAGTCACTTCCCCTCACCTACAAAACTGCATACAAACCTCTTGGCATGGCTTTGAAGGTTTTCTACATGTTGTGTCATATCCTTATCCCTGTTTTTCATTTTTCTTGCTCTTGTCAAGAAGGAGAACTATCTGCCATCTACCCTTCAGTCAGCTCCCCCTTCACTCACTATATGAGCTCAGGCAGATCCCCTAATCTGAATCTCCAACTTCCACCTCTGTCCAATGGTAAAAATAAAAGCTTCTTACAAGTTGTTCTGAGGATTATCCACACATGACAGAAAATTCCTAAGATAGTCTATGGCATACAGCAAAAACTCATGTGCTTGTAAAAAAAAAAGTTTTATTGCTGGCCTTCAGTTCTTACCACTATTGGAAGGATTACTACCCACCCAAATCCCACTCACTTTAAGGTCATAGCAAATTCTACCACCTTCTCAAAGAAGGTGTGATTGGACTGAATATAATCTCAAGAACAGTCTAGCACTTACTCACATCCTGTATTTTTTTAATATTAATTTTTTAGTTGCAGTTGGCCACAATGCTTTTATTTTATTTATTTATTTTTATGTGGTCCTGAGGATCAAACCCAAGTCCTCGCACATGCTAGGCGAGCACTCTACCACCAAGCCACAACCCCAGCCCTCACATTCTCTATTTTATCAGTCCTAGCTTTTCGGGTATGAATGAAGGTCTTGCTTTTCCAACTAAATTACAAACTCCAGGAGAACAAACTAAAATCATATCTTTTGGGTGCTTCTTGTCTTCACCTGCACCTTACATTCAGTAACCCCAGCCCTAAATATTTCTGGGGGTCTTCAGGTTGTGTCTCCAGCATACATTAATATTTTTTGTAGTACTCAGCCACTGCTAACACCATAATCCCTGGCAAAGATGGCCTCCACTACATGTCCCCAGGCTGCCTCCACTAAGCATTTCCTCAAGCACAGCTACCAATAAGGCCAGCCAGCCCTGTCACCTCCATCACATCTGCTGAGCACACTTGCTTCTTACCCTGATGCTTGTCATTCCTACCGGTCATTCTCACTGGATTAGGCCCCTGAGTTCTGTTCCTTGTGCCTTCAATATTTTATGTGTTCTCTTAGGAAAACATTTTTTGCAGGATATGACTTCATTGGATGGCAACCAAAAAAAAAAAAAAAATCAAGAATGACAGATTCAAAATCTCCTCATCTGACTTGTAAGTGAGGATGTATCTCTGGGTCAGCTCTGCAGATCAGGTTGCATCTTTGTTTGGACTGTGTTTGCTTCCTGGAGTCCTCAGGACCTCCAGCCAGTAGACACCTTCATTCCCAGCCACACCTCATTTCCAGTGCAAGCTCAGTTTAGCTGCAAGCTGGATCTCTACCTCATATCCCTTCATGCACCACAACACCTAGCACTCTGCTAGACACACACACACACACACACACACACACAAAATCAGTTAGAAGACCTAGTAGACTAACCACTGTGGGCCAGTAGTATAAATCAAGGTAATACAGAACATTAGATTGAACCTGTATCATGAAATTTTTTAGATTCCTATTCTAAAAATGGTTTTTCTGTTGTCACTTTGTTATAAAATAGAACTAAATAAAAACAATGTCTATTACTTGAAATTTGAATATAAGGAATTTCTAGCAATCTGAGTACAAACCAGTTGTTGGATGTGATTGCATGGGCCTGTAATCCTAGCTACTCAGGAGGCTGAGGCAGGAGGATTGAGGCCAGTCTGGGCAACATAGTGAGACCTTGTCTCAAAATAAAATAAAATAAAAAGGGCTGAAGGCATGAGTCCCTGGATTCAATCTCTAGTATTTAAAAAGAAAAAGACTAAAATTTGCAAAAGTATTGTTTAGAAATAAAACAATTTTACATGTTGAAATTTATACTGCAAACACCAAAATGCTTCCAAAACCTGGAAGGAGGAGGCAGCACTGAAGAATCTTCCTTAGAATAACTTCTAAGTCTGGCGGCCTCAAACTTAAAACTGCTTTGTCCATTTGAGTGTCATCACTAGCTGCCCCTGCTTCAGGTGAGCATTGCTTCCAGCCAGGCAAACTTGCCCCTCTCCCTAACCTTCCCTGAGAAGACCCAGGTGCCCTAGTCTGGAGGGGTCTGAAAACAAAATACAAGAATAGATTCTGAAAGTGAGATATGAGAAGGGGAGGGGCAGAGGGGAAAAAAAGGAGAGAAAGAAAGGTACTATGTTGTTTTCAGATGGATCCTGGATGTTTGTTCTTCCAAACACAATAGCTTGACTTTGATACTTTGTATAGTGGTTTGGGGTTGTGTGTGTGTGTGTGTGTGTGTGTGTACATGTGCATGCATCCTGGGGATCAAATGCAGGATGTCCCACTTGCTGGGCAAGCACTCAGCCACAGAGCTACACCTACATCCGATTTTAAGGTTTATTTTAATCAAATTTAACACCTTGCACAAACACATATCCCACACAGAGGCACACACATATTCACACGGATTTCAAAATTGAAAATATTAAGACAAACCAAGGAGGGATCCGTTTCATGGTTGTTGCCATTTTCCAGTGTCATAGTTGGGGAGAGTAACGCCGCAGAATTGATTTTCCAGATGATGTGACATACGGACTAGAAAAAGACAAGCACAGAAGACGAGAACTAGCTGTGACCTTGCAGATGATCTAATTCAATTTCCTCACTCTGCTGATGAAAAAAATAAGAACTCAATAAGTTAAATAATTTGTTCAAATTCAGAGAGATGTTCACTGTTAAACCTGAAATTCAGATCCAGGTCTCTCTAAAATAACCAGTTTTTTCAGTCTCAGTGCTGTCCTCTTTTGCCCAGTGTGGGGGCTTAAAGCTAAAGAGTCTTCTTATCCTGATGTTCCTAGCAGGATGTTTGCAAGCAGAGAGCTTACCCAGGTGTGAATGACTTTTGTGGTCACCACACCTTTTATTCTAAATATATAACACAATAGCAAAAAGATGTGAAAGGAAATTAATTAATTCTTTGCTTATTTCTAGCATGCAGTACTCTTCTGATGCATCTCCCAGACCCACCCTGGATTTTGTCCTAGGGTCATTTCTGAAACTTTAAGTTGTAGTAACTTTAAGCTATTGTCAGAAAGCACTTGAAAAGCATTGGGAAAAATCCCCATTACCAAAATTCAAGTAAAAGTACAGATTGGTGTCACTGCCTGCTAGTCCTGTTAAATTACATGCCTGGTGCTTTTTGCTGTTTAATTTCATAAGAGCATCCTTCTATCACTCACCTTGGGCAGAAACTTATGGAGACAATAGGGAATCTTGGCAGAAACTGAAGCGAAACTGTTGCCAGGAGGTGGAAAAAAATGGATGTAGCCGACAAATTACAGGGTTGCCCATTCAGTCATGAGAATGGAAACAAGTCTGTGAATCAATGTATGAAAAGGATATTTAATAGGATGGGAGAAGTCACTTTAACACCTGTTCCTGTTGCAGTCAATGCACTGATGCCAATCACTCACTGTCTGGATCCACTCTCCAAGCAGAAAATGATATCATCTCTTATTCTTTAAGGGTTAGAGCAGCAGAACAGGGTCTATTTTTAACAGTCCTGGGAGCAATCACCATGGCATTGACTGCTAGGAAAGTTTGTCTTAGAAGGTCTGGCCTGAGGCATTGGGGAAATCAGAGCCAGGAGAGAGGGAACCAGAGAGATTGTGAGCTTGCATAAGCACAAACATGTGAAATGAGAAGTGCAGAAAATTAAAAACTCTGAATAAAAGGTGAATTCATTTCACTCTGAGAGTTACGAAGCTTAGAGCCATAAATGCCGAGATGATGAGGAAGAGGCTGAGCTGATGTTTTTTATTGCAATCCATTATGGTAATGGAAAAATTTTCTTTTGAACTGTAGCTGTCTGGGTTGACTTTGGAAAGGTGGAAATTCAGGCTCATTTATTGGGAAAGAAGAATTCAAAGTAAGCTTCAGCTCAGAGCTTTGAGCATTCTCTATGGAAGGTGGCTCTTGGTCTAGACCAGGTAATGAAATGTTAATGGAAGTTTATTTCTTCCCTGCATCTCTCCAAAGCTTAGGGCTTTCTCCATGTAAATGTGTGGGGACTGCATTTCATCACAGACCCTACTGAAATCAATTTTACCTTTTCCCGTATATCTGAACTAGGACTGTGGAGGGAGGTGGCAGAGCACACAGTATCACAACTCTCTTGACCTCACGAAAGTTATTTTAGTTTTAGGTTTTATATTTCTCCAGGGATGAATGTTGCATCTAGAACATATTTCGAAGTAGCTTTCAACTTGTCATAAAGAAAACTCAGGTTTTTTACTATATTTTCAAGAATCTGGCTGATTCTTGACTTGGTTCTTAATTGTTTCCTCCAACATTTTACAGCATGGGGGAGAAACATCTAGGAAAGCAAATAAAAAAGATTCAACACAGAAAGTTATGATAGCATTGCATGGAGAATGTAGTGGGATCGTGAAGGAGGCAGTAATGAGTTCTGCCTGGGGGAGGAAGTCCAGGCAAAGCTTTACTTTTAGAAGACAGCTTTCTGAGCTGGCTCCTGTGGTGGATGGAAAGCGTGGGTGTTTCAGACAGGAAACAACATTTACAAAGGCCCAAAGGTGTGAACATATGTGACACATTCCAAGAATAGCCAGTAGTTCAAGTTGACCAGAGTGTGAAGTGCATGGGGCAGTTATAAAGTTTTAAACCAACACTAATAGGCATTACAAATTGATGGATTTTGGAGATAGGCATAGTGGTGCATGCCTGTAGTCCCAACAGCTGGGGAGGCTAAGTCAGAAGGAGCACAAGTTCAAGGCCAGCCTCAGCAACTTAGCAAGGCCCTAAGCAACTAGGGAGGACCCTGACTCAAAATAAAAAATAACAAGGGCTAGGGATGTAGCTCAGTGAGAAAACACCTCTGGGTTAAATCCCAGTATAAAAAAAATTTAAGTTGATGAATTTTTAAAAATTAGTATTAATAATAATTTTAATTTTCTCACATTTATGTGGAAAATTTAACTTAATGTACTTTCACAATATTTTGCCATTATTCCCCACAATAATACCATGAATAATCTCCCAAGTCAGGCTACACTGCCTTTATTATTCTCTCAGATAACAAAGTATAGTCTGAAAGGTTAAAAGACTCACCCAAAGTTGCATAGCTAGTCAGTGACAGGGGTGGCTCATTTTGCCTCAAGACCATTGGTCTTTTATTCATGTGATCAAACCTTTTGACTTTCAATATTTAAATGACAGAATAAAGATATAATTGTCCCATTTCCTATTTCCTCCAGAAACGTGACAGGCAAAGCTGAATCACCTTTATCCCATCCATACTTGAGGGAGAGTAAAGGCCAGGGACTCTGCATGGCCAATAGCAATGCAGCTGCCAATCTCTTCTAGGCAATGAGGAAAAGAGAAAAGGCGCTCATTCATATGTGGGATTCTGTTAAGAGGAAATTCACAATGAGTTAGATGGCTTTGACTCCTGCCTCACATTCATTACCTGCAATACTGGACCAGGAAGCCCACCCAAACGAAGATGAGTGATAGCCAGATGCAATGACCATGGAGTTAAACAAAGACACTACAAAAGACAAGGCGAAAGAAATATGGGGCGAAAAGGGGAATAAGATGATAAAAAGTATCATCAAAAAGTGATGCCACAGACCAGATAAAAACTGGGACCATGTATGTCACCATGAACTCACAAAGGAGATGAAGCTGCTGACTTATAACACAAGAGTTGAAAGCGAGGTTATAAGGGAAGAGTGAGTGAAATGATGGGAGAAATCTGAAGGTGACTTAGGAAGCAGCCCAAAGGAAAACAAACACTGTGGGACACATATCTATGGACAGGACCACAGAGTGAGAAAGTGAAAACAAGAGTTGCAAAGGATTAGAGAAAAATAATAAATAGAGGTGGTGTATTGTTGAGATCCAAAATCAATTGAAGACTTGAATTTAAATTTTAAGTGGCACATCTTATTCTAGGAAGAGCATTCTGCCAAATATCAACCCCAAGACATAACTACTGGGCATGAAAGTGAAAGAAAGATTTCCTAACAGAAACATTACATAAATAACAAAATTCAGAGGAAAGGAAGTTTTTAAGAGGAAGGCACTGTTAGATACTTCTTTATCTTTTATAGCCATGCATTAGTAACGATAAATCAATTAATTTATTTAAATATAAACACTAAGAAAATACTGAAAATCAAATAAGATCAGGTAGTTGAAGGAAGGCTGGGGGGCATAAAGAGAAATTACTAATTTTCACATTGATTATAATAAGGAGTCAAAGAATGATGACCAAAGAAATAGAGGTATTACATAAATTATATTACTTGTAAAAATGAATCTCCAGTGTTGTTCATCGTCATAAGATTTTTCACATCAACAGAAAAAAAGAAAAAGAAAATACAGACCACATAGTGAAATAAATAAAAGCATCAATAAATTCAGATAGCATATCATTAATTAAAATTAAAAACAAGATGTCATATCCACTTATATAAATTTAAACTATGAATATATTCACAGACATGTGAAATTATTAAAAGATGCAGAGTTGTTTGCATTATCAAAATACTGTGAACAATTTGAAAGTCCATCAGTAAGAGACTGACTGCATCAATTAGGGCACATCCATAAAACAGAATAATACATAGTAGTTAAAAAGAATGAAGCAAGCTAGAAGCAGTGGTACTCACCTGTAATCCCAGAAACTTGGAAGGCTTGAAGCAGGAGGATCATAAGTTTGAGGCCAACCTTGGCAATTTAGTGAGTCCCTAGGCAAATTAGCAAGACTCTGCCTTAAAATGAAAAATAAAAAGGGTTGGGGGTGTAGCTCAGTGGTTAAAAAAAGAAAACATTTCTGAGTTCAATACCCAGTATAGTCTTGAGGCAGCTTCAAGATAATACTGTTAGATTAAAAAATAAGGTATAGAATTATTTGTATGATTTACAACAATTTAATGACAGTCAGGTGGACCTATAACATATGCGTCTGTGTCACATGGTGGGGACATAGGCATAGACTGTCTGCAGAGACAAAGAAATAGGTAAAAGCAGATGTCCTCTAAGAGGGAGGCTGGATCCTTGGGGGATGCAGGAGAGAAACTTTTCACTATAGACTTTCTACACTTCCTGAATTCTATCCATGTGCATATTTTATCTAGTCAAAACCATATACATTAAATAATTTTTTTAAACAAAAGCAGTCTTACCAAGTGGTTCATCTTGTTAGGCAAGTCCTAGTTTATAATTGATTGAGAAAGAAATTTGAGTCAAAATAATTACTGGCTAGAACATCTCAGAGTATCCAGTTTTCTTTTGAGTGAGATGAGGTTCCCATTTGGTTTTAAGCCACTTAGATCTTGACTTAGAAGGGACAGGGACACAGAGAATAGACACACAAACAAGAAGTGCTTCAGTTTAGCAGCCTAAAGCCTGCTTCAAGAGAATATCCAACATTTGTGGTACATGCCAATCAGACAGGACACTGAAGTGGCATTTCTGGTTAGTGGTTTGGTGTGTGGCATCGTCAGCTTTGCGTAGCTGTGACAAAAATACCCAATCATAGAAACTCAGAGGAGAAAGGGTTTATTCTGGTTTCCAGTATCAGAAGTTTCAGTCCATAGATGGCCAACTCCACTGCTCTAGGCCCAAGGGGAAGCAGAACATCATAGGAGAAGGGTCCAGGGGAGGCAAGCTGTTCATCTCATGGTGGGGTTTAAAAGCATAGAGAGGAGTAGGGAAAGAGACTACAGAGAAGATGCACTCTTCCAGGACACATGTTTAGAGACCCACTTCCTCTAGCCCTACCCCACCTGCCTAACATTACCACCCAGTCCATACAGACTAAGAAGGACTGATTAGGTTACAGCTGGGGGTAGCTGTAATGATTCTAGCAATCATTTTGCCTCTGAATACTCTTGTATTAACACAAGAGCTTTTATGGGACACTTCACATCCAAACTGTACTAGTGCATTCAGTGTACTAGTGCATTCCTGCCCAGCCTGGAAAGCTTTTACTAAGCACTCTTCAATTTTAAACCTTTCTAACTGAAGGTCATTTCCCCCATAAATGTACACCCCTGCGGATGTCATTTGAGGAGAGAAAACATTTCTTACTTTGCTTGTAGTTTGTAGAACTTCTTAGTTTATCCCTTTCTGCTAATAGATGATAATTGTTAGACCTAGGCCTGAGGGAGAGTTCACACAATTCTATTCACACACTGTGATCTTCCACAATATGTTATTTCAAGCCATGAGAAAAGAGTCACAACTGCCTAGGGAGAAAATAAAATTAGAAGGGCAGCCTCCCTCTTGAGAGTTGAATTTGGTCCTTTAAGGCCAGCAATTCAATCTTTTAAAAGGCACATCTCTGTTCTAATCAATCAAACTTTCATTTCCAATGGCAATAACCTTCCCTGGGCACTCAAGAAATCAGAAACTGGAGCCTTGTACACAAAAAGTCAATATGGTATTTGCTACCCTGTTGAGCGGTTCCTACAAACCTACTCACAATTTTTTGTCAGCAAGCAATCCGATGTTCCATTAGACTATGGGGTTGGCAACACCATCTCTATGTTCAAGACTGTCATGTTAAATGGAAAAGATGTAATCTGCATCTGGAACTTAAAATAAATTTGAGATGAAGCAAAGATAAGCAATAGCCTCCCAAACTCTCATCTTTGGTTATATTGTGTTGTGATGTCTGTGTTTAACGTTTACCAAAAAGACAGAAATTCCAGGTCATAGGGGTTGTGATGCTCATTACTTAGAATAGCAAACAGCTTTACAGATGTTGTTAGACAATAAGTGGGTAAGAAACCACAGACATGTTCTTGACTTTTGACCTCCTCCTCCTCTTCCTTCTGGTCTTCCTTCTTCTCTCTCCTCCTCCTCCTCCTTCTTCTTTTGCAGGGATGGAGTGGAACCCAGGACATTGAACTTGCTAGAAAAGTGCAGTACATCTCCATCCCCTAGACTTTTTCTTCTTCATTAGGTAAGTTTTGTGTGAAATTATAGGAAGATTTATTAAAACCTAACTAGAAGATGGACATGTAGCTTAGTGGTAGAGCACTTGCTTAGCATGCAGAAGGCCCTGTGTTCCAGCCCCAACACTACACACACACACACACACACACACACAAAATCTAAACTCACATGCAATGAATTTGCAATAGAAATTTTTCTTTTATGAGGAGGAAGATGGCAGCAAGGGGAGTGCATTGCCCCGTGTGCCGCGTCACTGTGTGGGAGTATGACGAGTCAGGACAGCTAAAGGCTATCTTGTTAGGAATTTCCAGCAACAGTGGGGTGCTCCGGAACCTGGAGGAAGGATTTCCATCACACGAGGATCGGCTACGGGGACTCAAACGCGAGAGATTTGTCGCACGGAGGGTAACACTGCTTATTCAGCAAATCGCCCCGCGGCTAGAGTCTGCAGCGTGCGCTGGGAAATGAGGAGATAGCGGCGCAGGGATACAGCGCTGCAGTTTCTGCCAGCCGTGCAAGCACCATACTCAGTGCTGAATTCTGGGTTCCTTCTGGGGGAAGGAAGCGGTCCATTTCGGTTCTCCACACGGGTCAGACCACAGAGGAGGCCAGCGGCCACCATCTTGGAGAGCTGACGTCACCATCCCTGTTTTCGACTGACCGCAGCTCATTCAGCCATAGAACAGGTAATTTCAGGCTGCCATTCGCCTGCGGCTTGCAGACAGATTACTCAGGCTCAGTGCTAAATAACCCGTGGAAACTGCTTCTTGGAGCCTGCTCTTATCAGAGCATACACCGAGCACGGAGCAGCCGAGTTCCGGCTCCCGGAACTGCTCTGGCCCAGAGATAAGGAGCCCGCGGAAACTGCTTCTCGGTCCTGGTTCTGCTGAGGGCCGGTCAGGACTCACCCGTTGCTTTGGTTACCCGGCAAAGGGAACGAAATGCTGCCATTCACATAGGATACCAACATGGCAGAGATCTGATGTCATCAGAAAGTGGCGGAGGAGAGAACTTCATCAATACTAGCGGCGACAGAAACAGTTGGTCTCCTGGTAGGGAGGGTGAGGCACAGACACCCGAGTCTCTCTCGATTTGTTGTGGAGCCAGAGGGGAGGAGCCGGGCCGCCGCCCGCGCCCGGGGCAGGCCCAGTGGCTCGCTGGAAAGCTCTGAAAGCTAGAAGATCCTGGAATAACATATTTCAAACACTGAAAGAAAATGGGTTCCAACCAAGAATTGTGTATCCAGCGAAATTAAGCTTCAGGATGGAAGATGAAATTAAAACCTTCCACGATAAACAAAAGTTAAAAGAATTTGCAGCTAGAAAACCATCTCTTCAAAACATCCTCGCCAAAACATTACAGGAAGAGGAAATGGAAAATAACAATGAAAACCAACAGTGGGAGGTAGGACAGTAAAGGGGGGGAAAATAATCAAAGAGGAAAACAAACCATGTTTAGTAACATAAATAAACAAATATGGCTGGAAGAACAACCCATATCTCAAAAATAACCCTAAATGTTAATGGCTTAAACTCACCAAGTAAGAGACACAGGCTAGTAGAATGGATCACAAAACAAGACCCAACAATATGCTGCCTACAGGAGACACATTTGATAGGAAAAGACATACATAGGCTGAAGGTGAAAGGTTGGGAAAAATCATATCACTCATATGGACTTCGGAAACAAGCAGGAGTGTCCATACTCAAATCAAATAAAATAGATTTCAAGCCAAAGTTAATCAAAAGGGATAAAGAGGGACACTACATACTGCTTAAGGGAACCATACACCAACAAGACATAATAATCATAAATATATATGCCCCAAACAATGGTGCAGCTATGTTCGTCAAACAAACTCTTCTCAAGTTCAAGAGTCTAATAGACCACCATACAATAATCATGGGAGACTTCAACACACCTCTCTCGCCACTGGACAGATCTTCCAAACAAAAGTTGAATAAGGAAACTATAGAACTCAATAACACAATTAATAACCTAGACTTAATTGACATATATAGAATATACCACCCAACATCAAGCAGTTACACTTTTTTCTCAGCAGCACATGGATCCTTCTCAAAAATAGATCATATATTATGTCACAGGGCAACTCTTAGACAATATAAAGGAGTAGAGATAATACCATGCATCTTATCTGATCATAATGGAATGAAACTGAAAATCAAAGATAAAAGAAGGAAGGAAAAAGCATACATCACTTGGAGAATGAACAATAGGTTACTGAATGATCAATGGGTTATAGAAGACATCAAGGAGGAAATTGAAAAATTCTAAGAGATAAATGAAAACACGGACACAACATATCGGAATCTATGGGACACATTGAAAGCAGTTCGAAGAGGAAAATTCATTGCTTGGAGTTCATTCCTTAAAAAAAGAAAAAACCAACAAATAAATGATCTCATACTTCATCTCAAAATCCTAGAAAAAGAAGAGCAAAACAACAGCAAAAGAAGTAGAAGGCAAGAAATAATTAAAATCAGAGCTGAAATTAATGAAATCGAAACAAAAGAAACAATTGAAAAAATTGACAAAACTAAAAGTTGGTTCTTTGAAAAAATAAACAAAATCGACAGACCCTTAGCCATGCTAGTGAAGAGAAGAAGAGAGAGAACTCAAATTACTAGCATACGGGATGAAAAAGGCAATATCACAACAGACACTTCAGAAATACAGAAGATAATCAAAAACTATTTTGAATCCTTATACTCCAATAAATTAGAAGATAGTGAAGGCATCGATAAATTTCTTAAGTCATATGATCTGCCCAGATTGAGTCAGGAGGATATAGACAACCTAAACAGACCAATATCAATTGAGGAAATAGAAGAAACCATCAAAAGACTACCAACTAAGAAAAGCCCAGGACCGGATGGGTATACAGCAGAGTTTTACAAAACCTTTAAAGAGGAACTAATACCAATGCTTTTCAAGCTACTTCAGGAAATAGAAAAAGAGGGAGAACTTCCAAATTCATTCTACGAGGCCAACATCACCCTGATACCTAAACCAGACAAAGACACTTCAAAGAAAGAAAACTACAGACCAATATCTCTAATGAACCTAGATGCAAAAATCCTCAATAAAATTCTGGCGAATCGAATACAAAAACATATCAAAAAAATTGTGCACCATGATTAAGTAGGATTCATCCCTGGGATGCAAGGCTGGTTCAATATACGGAAATCAATAAATGTTATTCACCACATCAATAGACTTAAAAATAAGAACCATATGATCATCTCGATAGATGCAGAAAAAGCATTCGACAAAGTACAGCATCCCTTTATGTTCAAAACTCTAGAAAAACTAGGGATAACAGGAACATACCTCAATATTGTAAAAGCAATTTATGCTAAGCCTCAGGCTAGCATCATTCTGAATGGAGAAAAATTGAAGGCATTCCCTCTAAAATCTGGAACAAGACAGGGATGCCCTCTCTCTCCACTTCTGTTCAACATAGTTCTCGAAACACTGGCCAGAGCAATTAGACAGACGAAAGAAATTAAAGGCATAAAAATAGGAAAAGGTGAACTTAAATTATCACTATTTGCAGTTGACATGATTCTATACCTAGCAGACCCAAAAGGGTCTACAAAGAAACTATTAGAGCTAATAAATGAATTCAGCAAAGTGGCAGGATATAAAATCAACACAGATAAATCAAAGGCATTCCTGTATATCAGCGACAAATCCTCTGAAATGGAAATGAGGACAACCACTCCATTCACAATATCTTCAAAAAAAATAAAATACTTGGGAATCAACCTAACAAAAGAGGTGAGAGACTTATATAATGAAAACTACAGAACCCTAAAGAGAGAAATAGAAGAAGATCTTAGAAGATGGAAAAATATACCCTGTTCATGGATAGGCAGAACTAACATCATCAAAATGGCGATATTACCAAAAGTTCTCTATAGGTTTAATGCAATGCCAATCAAAATCCCAATGGCATTTCTTGTAGAAATAGAGAAAGCAATCATAAAATTCATATGGAAAAATAAAAGACCCAGAATAGCAAAAACAATGCTAAGCAGGAAGTGTGAATCAGGCGGTATAGCGATACCAGACTTCAAACTATACTACAGAGCAATAGGAACAAAAACAGCATGGTACTGGTACCAAAACAGGCGGGTGGACCAATGGTACAGAATAGAGGACACAGAAACCAATCCACAAAACTACAACTATCTTATATTTGATAAAGGGGCTAAAAGCATGCAATGGAGGAAGGATAGCATCTTCAACAAATGGTGCTGGGAAAACTGGAAATCCATATGCAACAAAATGAAACTGAATCCCTTTCTCTCACCATGCACAAAAGTTAATTCAAAATGGATCTAGGAGCTTGATATCAAATCAGAGACACGCCGTCTGATAGAAGAAAAAGTTGGCTACGATCTACATTCGCTGGGGTCGGGCTCCAAATTCCTCAATAGGACACCCATAGCACAAAAGTTAATAACTAGAATCAACAAATGGGACTCACTCAAACTAAAAAGTTTTTTCTCAGCAAAAGAAACAATAAGAGAGGTAAATAGGGAGCCTACACCCTGGGAACAAATCTTTACTCCTCACACTTCAGATAGAGCCCTAATATCCAGAGTATACAAAGAACTCAAAAAATTAGACAATAAGAGAACAAACAACCCAATCAACAAATGGGCCAAGGACCTGAACAGACACTTCTCAGAGGAGAACATACAGTCAATCAACAAATACATGAAAAAATGCTCACCGTCTCTAGCTGTCAGAGAAATGCAAATCAAAACCACCCTAAGATACCATCTCACTCCAGTAAGATTGGCAGCCATTATGAAGTCAAACAACAACAAGTGCTGGCGAGCATGTGGGGAAAAGGGTACACTTGTACATTGCTGGTGGGACTGCAAATTGGTGCACCCAATTTGGAAAGCAGTATGGAGATTTCTTGGAAAGCTGGGAATGGAGCCACCATTTGACCCAGCTATTCCCCTTCTTGGTCTATTCCCTAAAAACCTAAAAAGAGCATGCTACAGGGACACTGCTACATTGATGTTCATAGCAGCACAATTCACAATAGCAAGACTGTGGAACCAACCTAGATGCCCTTCAATAGACGAATGGATAAAAAAAATGTGGCATTTATACACAATGGAGTATTACTCTGCATTAAAAAATGACAAAATCATAGAATTTGCAGGGAAATGGATGGCATTAGAGCAGATTATGCTAAGTGAAGCTAGCCAATCCCTAAAAAACAAATGCCTAATGTCTTCTTTGATATAAGGAGAGTAACTAAGAACAGAGTAGGGACGAAGAGCAGGAGAAGAAGATTAACATTAAACAGGGATGAGAGGTGGGAGGGAAAGGGCGAGAGAAGGGGAAATTGCATGGAAATGGAAGGAGACCCTCAGGGTTATACAAAAGTACATACAAGAGGAAGTGAGGGGAAAGGGAAAAATAATACAAGGGGGAGAAATGAATGACAGTAGAGGGGGTAGAGAGAGAAGAGGGGAGGGGAGGGGAGGGGAGGGGAGGGGGATAGTAGAGGATAGGAAAGGCAGCAGAACACAACAGACACGAGTATGGCAATATGTAAATCAATGTATGTGTAACTGATGTAATTCTGCAATCTGTATATGGGGTAAAAATGGGAGTTCATAACCCACTTGAATCAAAGTGTGAAATATGATATATCAAGAAATTTGTAATGTTTTGAACAACCAACAATAAAAAATTAAAAAAAAAGAAAGAAAGAAAAAGAAACATCGAAGGCTTAAATACAAAAAAAAAAAAAAAAAGAAATTTTTCTTTTAATGGATTTTCTTTCAAGGTACTATGTTGGAAATTTGTTCAAAGAACATTCAGATGTCCACAAAACTAGAAAAATAATATTTTAAGCACACAAATTCCAGCAACTGAATAGTTTATATTATTACGACATGGTGGAGTTTGTACCTAACACACTGTTTACGGATAGTCAATAGACAGTGAAGTCACCAGGCCTGGCTTCAGGACAGCAACCCCCTGTTGAGATCCCCACCACAACCAAGCTATGAGGCATATGAGGGTTGAAAGCAATGAGACTTTCTAAGCCTACAAAACAGGGGTCTGAACAGCAGATCTGCCTTCCCATGGCCTTGCTTGGAGGACAGAAGGAATGAGGTATGTGGTTCTGCTTTGCATCTCATTGCCATTTGAACAGTTCTTGGTAGTATTAATTCTGGGCTTCTCATGTGTATTCTGCATCTCATACATTATATGACAAGTTCCTAGTTGATTCTAATTCTTATTTTTAAAGTTTCATTGTCATGAATCATTTTATAGTTTGGCTAGAGACCAATCTTTATATGTTAATAATGTCATAATTTTTTAAAAAAAAAAGCAATAATATTGCTTTTCATGACACTTTTAGATTAGTTTTGATCATTTCATTGAATCTGCAATAAGCAAAGTCACTTGTTAGAACTGCATGCTCAGATTTTCTTTAAACTATCTGTTTGGGTTTGGATACAGGGTATCCCCCAAAAACCTCTATGCTAATGCAAGAGGCAAAAATGATTAGATTGTGAGAAGTGTAACCTAATCAGTCCATCCAATCAACCCATTAATAGACTAACTGGGTGGTAACTGTCAGCAGGTAAGGCGTGGCCTGGAAGGCTTCATCTCCCCTACAGTCCCTTTACTTCTCTCTTTCTCTGCTTCTTGGCCAGGAACTGAGCAACTTTCTCTGCCATGCCCTTCTGCCATGATGTTCTGCCTCTTCTCAGGCTCAGAGCCAAGGAGTCAGCGGACCATGAGCTGAACCTCTGAAACCATGAGCCCCAAACAAATTTTTCCTCTTCTAAGTTATTCTGGTCAGGTATTTTGGTCACAAGCAATGAAAAATTAATTGACACACACAATCCATGTAAGCCTCTCTCTGCTGCTTTTTTGTTCAATTAATGCACACAATTATTCTAAATTGGTAGCTCTACTCAACAATTTGTTAGCTTCTATTTTCTTGTTGCTTAATGAGACTAATTTAATCAATGCCATCCCTGTGAACTGTGTAACTGCATGCAGTTCATTTTTGTGCACCATAGTATACTCTATTTTCATTTTGCTGCCCAATCCTCCTGTCAAGCAACCTTATGCCTCAGGGCCCCAGCCAGACACCAGAGAATAAATGCATTGCATGGGTGGAAAAATTTATTTTTCTTTTTTTTTTTTTTTGGGGGGGGGGGCGCAGGGGTAACTGGGAATTGAACCCAGAGGCTGGCTATGTTAGCTAAGCACACACAGTACCACTGAACAACACCCCAGTCCCTCTGGTAGAGGGATTTGATGCTAACATTCTGTGCAAATGAATGACACAAAAGACACAGGATGGTAAAGGAATCCATCCTGTGGCCGAAGGAGGAACTACCTAGAAATACTCCAGGCTCCTGTCACTCCCTAAATACTATGGTTAAAACAACCAGTGGTAGGTGTTTTTTAACTGTTCCTCACACTCCGTGAGCCCCAGCATCTCCAGAACACCTTTAGAAGGCTAGGAGGGCAAGAGGCAGAACGAGAGCTGTTTGAAGGAGGAAACAGGCAGTGCAGTCATTTAATCAGCAGGCTGTGTGAAAGAATGTCATATCTGCCAAAGCACCAGTTTGTGGTTTTCAGAAAGGACAAGTGGGTGTGGGCTGAACATGTGGCATAATCGCCCAGAAAGAACTGAAATTGCCCAGCAGGCACATAACCACACGCCCTGATTATAATCTGTTGCCAGGCTGCTCCCTACAAATATGAGCCTGCATCTACAAGCCCATCTAAAAATAAAGAAGGATTTAATGCATCACTTTATCAGGGCCTCTTGGATGGCAGCAGGGCAACTGGAAGAGCAATGGCAAGGAGGAAACATTACAGCTCCTGTCCTAGCACTGTCATTAACAAGAGCAAGTTTTTTGAGAGCTCTGGGACTTGGAATCTTTGTAAAATAGGAATCACAAAACCAGCTCCATTTTCCTTGCAAAGTGATGAACTGAAGATGAAGAAAACTTATCAACAAGTACGTTATTGGACTCCCAGTGTTCCCAGAAGTGAGGGGGACTTGAGAAGGGATGAGATACAGTATTTGACTGAAATATTTTACCATAGATTTTGGGTGAAATGAGACCAAAGCCTGTGTAGTAAGTCAACTATCTGACAGTATTTACACAAGCACTCACAAATAGAATATAACATAACATTTCTGTAAAATTTCACAGGCATGAAAGGATGATATGGAGGAACCAGATCCTGAAAGATGAAGAGGGCTTGGCTGCAAAAGAAGGGAAGGACAGGAGTTTGTCAATAAAGACTGGAAGGCAGCAATTTGCAGGGCTTTTTAATTGCAAAGGAATGACTGGCAAAAAGTTCGAGAAAAGCAGGGAAGTAAATTGTATAGATAAGATGAGCCTGGATTAAAATAACAGTGAAACCAGATGGACAAGGTATCTGGAAAGGAAAAGAAATAAGGTTCCAGAGTTTTTTTTTTTTCCAAACAACAGTGACTTAGCATTTAAGGAAGATCGGCCTGAGAATGGTACATAATCTGGCCAGAGCTGAGAAGACTGAAAGACATGTGGAAAAGCAGCTATGATCCATTCTTAGTAGAGGTAATAGAGAAAAGCAGAGACAGCAGACAGAGTCTAAAGGAAAAAACTGGGGTCGGGCTTTAGCTCAGCAGTAGAGTCGGCATATGCAAGGTGCCCTAGACCCCTGATACTGCAAAATAAGTGAATAAACAAAAAAAAAGTGAAAAGACTAGACAATCAACTGCATATGGAGGACAAAGATATGTTAATGTTCATTCAAATACGAGTCTGGGTGACTACAAGAACATCTGCTCTGTTTGAAAAAAGAATGCATTGATGATTTTTTGTTTCTTTGATTTACTGGGGGTTCGTTTTAAGCTCTCTCTCCACAGAGTATTCTCAGCTGATATATGTTAATCATGATACATATCTTAACGATGACACAGCTATTCATTGCAAGTGTTTGTTAGTGTGCTTTCTTGATTCTTCCCGCCTTGATTTAACGTCAATTTCTACACTCTAGCTTTGCAATAAAATGTTTAGCATTATGTCTTATTATTTTTATCTGTGTATCCCTAAATCCAAAAGAGTAGAATAATTTGTAGAATTCGTCTGTCCTTATTTGAATAGTACATTATTTTTCTGAATTTTAGCTGCCCAAGTCCGTGGCAAGATGTAATTCTAGATTATTACACTAGATGGCAGAAAACAACTACTTTCTCTTCATTCCATTCAGCATAATAAAGCCACTGTACGGAAAAATTAAGCAATGTGGCTCATACATTTGTTTTCTCTTATCTCATGAAAAGAAATACAAACTTTCATACCAAACATGTGAATCCCAATGAGAAAAGTAGAGGAAGAAAAGTAATTGTGAGTGGTATTTCCTTTTGATTTGGTGGCGTTTGTTTGTTTTGTTTCGTTTTGTTAGTTTTTTGTTTGACTTTATGTCTAATGGGTTGCCTAAATAAAAAATGGTGACAGAAAATGAAAGTGGTTGTGATGTTGCTATGAAATGAGACTCTATTATTTAACTAATTTATTTATTTTTGCAGGTCAGAGTTAAGGTGAGTTTGGGTGGGAAGGTCAGAGAAATGGGAATATACAGGTGGAAGTTATGATCAGAATCAATGGCAATAAAACTGTTCCCAAAATCAGCCTCTGCCAGCCTTTCAGAAATGCCCTGGCACCCAGGTGGTGCTGAGAAACATTACTAACCACAGCTTTCAGGCGGCCTCTAGTTTATTCTGCTTCTGGATGGAATTTTACTTAAATCAACTGAGTAGAAAGAAGCGGACCTTAGACTTCAAACCTGATTTTAATATTTAATTGCTTTGAAAAGTGGAATCATGTTTGTTTTAATCACATCCTTTCAGTGTCTATTTTGTTGAACACACTCCACAGTGAGCACCCTTGTATTAACAAAATGACTGTCACACCTACCCTAGTGGAACTTAAGCCCTCTGGAAGCTTGTGAGACTTCTGCAGATTTCAAAAAATTCTACCAATATTCAATTCCCTCCTACCTGTTATATAACTGTATCTAGAAAGCAAAATATTTATTCAAGTATGAATTTGGGGTGAGAGCTCTATACTTCCCTCGGTAAAATCTCTATTATCTGTAGATGACTACTTTGAAGAAATTGGGGCTTTTTTTCCCCATCAAAAAAAAAAAAAAATACACACACACATACACACACACAAACAGTTTTTTAATAAGATTATACTCAAGAGTTCTTATTTCTACATAATTTCTTGAGTCTCTGGTAGTTCTGAATAATTGGGACATTTTAATGATCAACCTCACTAGGAAAAAAGTATCACTTATCACACATCAGGACTCGTGTATTTGCTCTTCCCCTCCCTTGAACTTCCTCTTTAGTATTATGTGAAAGTAGAAGGTATCTAGCCCTAATAAAGAAACGCTAAAATGCAGCCTAGAGCAATAACACTTTGCCCCTAGTGCTATGTTTGCATCCATGCTGGTGTGCTGCCTAATGGGTGACTTAGGTGTAACCCTGAAGTCCTTAATGTAAGCCTCACTTTCCCCCTCGGTGGAACAGTGAGATGGCTGCCTTAGGCACTTATAGAAGTCTGCTGGGTATCTCAGGAAACAATTAACAGGGCTCCAATGAAGGGACAGCACTATACCACAGGAGAACATTATGGGTGCTAGCAAGAACACTACCGGAGGCAGACACCAGGCTGGCTTCCTAGAGGTGTGGTCTGCTCTTCTCCTGAGCTCCTTCCTGCATCCTGTCACCAGACAGGACCACAGGAATGGGGCTGGCCTGAAAGCGCCATGAGCAGCTAGCAGAGCATAGATAGTGCTGGGAGGGCTCGGAGCCACTCTGCACTTCATGCCAAAGGGTGATGATTTAAATTGCTCTATGAATATGTATCTACTTCAGTAATTAACTTTTGCTATTACTAGCAGAGAAACTGCTGTGGCCAACCGTCTTAACAAAGCTGTAGTTATTGTGATTTCACTTTCCAGTTTTCCTGGGGAAGCAAGCATCTTATGCCTGTGTGAGCATTATTACCATATATAGAGAGAAAACTGCCCGGTTTAAAAAAAAAGAAAAAAACAATAGAAGCCTGAGTCAGTTGCTTTAGGTAGGAGTGACTATAGCCAGAGTCAGAAGTCACAGTCAGGAGGAAATCTGCACTTGGCAGACATTATTACTAACTGCTCAGTCTGAGGTGATTCAAAAGACAGATCAGAAAAGGGAAATGTTGCAAATGCTAGCACACTCATGGAAATTTAACTGCCAGGAGAGGTTGTTAAACAGTTATTCAAATTCTGGAGAACAGATGAAAGACTTTTCTCGACTTTAAAAATAAAAAAATAAATTTTACTTTTTTTCTAGATTTGCTTATTTTTTTAAGAAAAAAAATTTAAATAAAAATCCAGTTTATGGGCTGGGGATGTGGCTCAAGCGGTAGCGCGCTCGCCTGGCATGCGTGCGGCCCGGGTTCGATCCTCAGCACCACATACAAACAAAGATGTTGTGTCCGCCAAAAACTAAAAATAAATAAATAAATATTTAAAAAAAAAAAAAAAAAAAAAAAAAAAAATCCAGTTTATGATCTAAGATGAAAATCTGTGACCTTGAAACATTGTGAAGGTTAAAAAATAATGCAAATACAGGTCAAAGACATAAAACAAATTTGCTGACAACTCAAAATGATTGTTATGTAAGTGTAGGGTAATTGCTTTGATATTTGTGACATCATAGTTACTGGCAGACCCCCAAAATAGAACTACTACCAATATTGACCATTCTGATTTTAAGAGGAGGGGAAGGATTTTTGAATGAATGTTTGGAAAAGAGTTGAAAGCATTTCCATCTATTCCTGATCCTTCCATTTTGCTAGCTTGGGCATAGCTCACACTACCTCACCTTTTCACTCATAAAATGCTCATAGCATCTGTCTACATTGTTTTTAGTGCTTTATTAACATTTTCTCCAATTATGCCCTTAAAACTTTTAAAGCCTCCTGGAAGAAATATATTCTTATTTTAAAAATATTTCTATCATGGTCTATTATCATTTGATGATGACTATATAATTCTATATTTAATAAATTACTATCAGATGATAATTTAAAATAAGTCTGCAACATGGGGAATTTAAACATTACAAAATAACCAGAATGAGGCCAGGGGTTTACTTAGAGTCTATAAAAATGGGGAAAAGGAGTATCTATCCTATACAAATTAACTAAGAAAATACTTCTATGACTTTGCTAACACTAAATCAGAAAATGATGTAAGAGGAATTTCAGTTGTCTCTCAATGGTAGAGCATTTGTCTAGCATGCATAAGGCCCTGGGTTCCACCCTAGTGCTTCCAAAAAGGAAAAAAAAGTAAACCAAAGAATTGAGGGCTGGGGTTGTGACTCAGTGGTAGAGCACTCATCTAGCATGTGCGATGACCTGGGTTCAATCCTCAGCATCACATAAAAATAAATAAAATAAAGGTATTATGTCCAACTACAACTAAAAAATAAGTATTTTTTAAAAGCCAAAGAATTATATAGTGAGCCTTTCTGTATACATAAAAAATAAAGTATTTTTACCACTAAATAGACTTATCTTTTTTTTTAACAAAAGTTAAGACTTTCATTGTGGAAAATTCAAACAAAACAAGAATGCAGAAAAGAAATATGTGAATACCTCCTCATATTTCTGTACTCTCCAAAGACCAGAAAGATAATATCTTGCATGACCTGTTTCATTGCAATGTAGATAATATCCTGCAATGTACTTAATGGATTTTACTTAACCATACAGATTAATATTCACAGATTTCATTCTTGTATTGGCTGCAACCACTGACTGAATATACCACAATTTATTTAACCCATCTTCTCTTAATTAAATCTTGAGATTTCCCCCAGTGGTGTTTCCTTCTTTTAAAAAAAGCACTGCAGTGGACATTACTAAGACTTTAAATATACATGAGCAAGTACTCCTCCCATGGTAAATTAGATCAGAGGAATGTCTGGGTCAAAGCTGACACCAGGGTTTATGAGTGTCCATTTCCTCTTGTTTTTTGTTTGTGATGCTGGAGCTATTCTTGTTAAGATGTTTCAAGTTTTAATAGTTTCGAGTTAAAAAGGAGGCTAACAGGGAAAGAAAAGGAGACTGTAACTTTAAATCTAAGAAGCGCCTTGAACACCCTCACCTTTGCCCCCCAAACCAGTTTTCCTCCAGACATGAATTCTTAAAAAGCCTATGAGTCCTGTAAGTCTAGGTAATTAATGCCTACATGCAATGCTGGTTTACACAACATATTTTCCTTCAGATTAAATAAAGCCAAGGAAAAATACTGTTAGGACTTATGATGTGGTCATCTTCCAAATATTAACTTTTAGCTAGATGACATCAATCTAGAGATCCTGAAAGAATCAGACCACCATGACGCACCCAGTGTTCTATGATGAAGAGAATTGAGATCACCAGGCTGATGTTACCCCAAAGTACATTCCTGACCACTATTTACAAAGTTCCCTTTAAAAGAAGATCCCAACATGGGGGTAGGAAAGACGGTGGAATGAGATGGACACCATTATTCTAAGTACATGTATGAAGACACGAATGGTGTGACTCTACTTGGTGTACAACCAGAGATATAAAAAATTGTGCTCTATATGTGTAATATGAATTATAATGCATTCTGCTGTTGTAGATAACAAATAAAAATAAAATAAAATACCCAAACTTTTTTGGGAAAAAAAAGAAGTGCCCAACCTGTGTGATACATGCCTATAATCTCAGCAGCTTGGGAAGCTGAGGCAGGAGGATCACAAGTTCAAAGCCAGGTTCAGCCACTTGGTAAGGACCTAAACAACTTAGCAAGACTCTTTCTCAAAATAGAAAAAATAAAAAGGCTAAGGATGTGACTCAGTGGTTAGGCTCCCCTGAAGGAGAAGAGCCCAAGACCTCAAAAGTGAGTCTCATACCCAAGTGCTCACACTCCTTCATTTGACTGTGTGTCCTGTCTATTGTTTGCTTTCCTCAATAAATCTCCCTGCTTTCCTAAATAAATCCTGCTTGAGCCTGTTTTTTCTTTTATTACTTCATTTTAATTATACACAATAGTTGGTATCACTTTGACAAAATCGTACATCTATGGAATTTGATTTACCCACTTATTCCCTGATGCTCCCCTACCCTTTCCTCTCCCTCCTCCCTCCACTAGTTCTCATTCCTCTACCCTACCATGCTTTCTTTTGCTTGTTTATCTATTTATTTTTGATT